GCAGAAAGCAGGCAAGGAGACCAAGCACCTGGATCCAGCTGCACCTGAAGTCAAATGCGTGGGCACTTTCCCATTACACAGAAAACATGTTTCCATATCCTATATGAGTCCATCTCCCTGTGTTTCTGTCATTTGTAGCCAAAAGGATCCTGAATAACACAGGGACGGAAGTGGGGGTGGAGGAGGAGGGGCGGGGCAAGGCTCTACAACCCAGGAGCCCTAGTTTCGAATCTTGGCTTCAAATGAGTCACTTTGCCTCTTGGATCCTGTCCTCCTGGAGTCCTTGGCCATGGGGGCTTACTGTAGGTATCACAGTCATGCGCAGGATGTGAGGGGTCAGATATGGCTTTGAGCAAGGGACCTCCCTGCTCTCAGCCTCATTTCCACACTGGCAGGAAGCAGAAGAAAATCAGTGCTGTGGTGGAAACGTGTGCACGGAGCTGGTGCTCCGTGTGACAGCTACCCTGAGTGGGATGGGTGGATGAGACCCAAGACCGCACCAGTCATTCCTGCCCAGAGGTTGGCATGGGCCGGCAGCTGCAGAGTGGTCAGCCCCGGCTACCCAGGATCAGAAAGAGCTGTCCCTTCCGCAAGCAGAGGAGCTGGCAGAAATTCTAGCTAGTGCTAATTAGGTCCTTAAAGCCACCAGCCCGCCTGCCTCCAGGGAGGGGAGGGAACGCTTGGTTAATGACTGGCCCACTCTGCAGGGGGCCACACCCCGGTGTTACCTGCCGGCTTCCCCTCTGTGCCAGAGCTGGAAACTGCAGCCAGGAAGCCAGGCAGCCCCCGGCCGGCCAGCAGGGTGAGCCTCGCCGCCATCTGGTCCCTAACTCGGCTGCCTAATGTTTGTAGCAGACCCAGCAGCTAATTGCACGGGTAGGCAGCAGTCTTTCCACCTTTAGCACCTAATTCGCTATTGTTTCTTTGGAAGCCCGATCCTGCGGCTGGGGAGGGAGGGCTCTACCTGTTTATGGGACTTTCAGGCCCCGGGCACCACAGCCTGGCCTTGTTAGGCTCCGGCTGGGCAGGCAGCCAGGAGGGCATCCCCTGACTTCCTCCACTCAGCCTCGCCGCACCTCCCAGCACCTGCACGGCTCACCTGGCGGGCGGCAAACAAACCCCCACACCACAGCCTCCCCCGCTCCTCAGGGGACACTTTGCTTCCCTTGCCCCTCAGCTTTGGAACTTCATCTCCCCCCCAAAACACACACACAGGCGAACGGGAGGGAAGAGACAAGCGGGCACGGGAGGCCTGGGTTCAAAGCTCAGCTCTGGCACCTTCTTCCACCAGCCTTAGTTTCCCCATCTACACAATGGCCCTCCTAACACTTCCTTGGCCAGGTTCTTGTGTCAGTCAAATGAGATCCCAGCAAGGGCGAGGACACCGGAGCTTGCTCTGCCCCAGAGCCGTGCTGCTGGAACCGCTGTGATGGGAAGGGGAGCGGCGGCCATAGAGGGAGAAGACACTGGGCCCCAGCAACACCCGAGGGGCGGGGGGAGAAGCACCTTGTCCCCACGCCCACTTCCGGCCCCGCTTTGGGGCCTCCTTCTTGCTTGCTTGCCTCCTGAAATGCTAGGGTGAGGGACAGTCCTTACTCCCCTCCAGCACCCATCTCGCCCAGTGCCATTACAAGGGGAGGAGGGGGAGTGGGAGGGACCAAGATAGCTCACGGCCTTCTGCACCCTGCCCCCTGCTCCTTGGCATCAGAGAAGCTGAGTTGGGAGGGACGCTAAGCCGGGCCGGCTGGCGTGGGAAGAGCCCTGAACTCCCGGGGAGAGCTGCAGCTCACTGCGTCCAGCCGCATCTCATCCAACGTGTTGGTGAGCACTGTGATTACTGTGAACTGGCATCTAAGGGGCTCTGTCATATGCACCTGGTGACCCCGGGTGACAAGGGAGGAGGAGGGAGACAGCTCCTGCCCGGGGTGCCCAGTGCTCAGCTCTCTCTTGCAAACATTGCCTGGAACCCGCAAGGTCAAACAATCGCACTGGGGAACGATATGGTGCATAGAAAAGGTGTGACACAGAGGGCGGGATGGGCAAGCAAAGACCAAGCCGGGCGCTCTAGGTCCCAGATCTGGTACCGTCAGTGGCAGGACACCCCGGGGAGAGGGCTGTCACCGAGCACTTAGGAGCGTGGTTTGTGGTGCCTCTCCTTGGGCTGGGAGAGTACAAGCATTAATGCAGAATCGGCGTCGGTGGGGGAAGACTGGGCGCCTGCACAGAGCTGAGAACTGAGACCATGAAGACTCCTGCTAGCCCCCTCCGCAGAGCGGGCGTACCTAGCAAGACACCACAGCAGCTGGGAAGGCTTCCCCCAGCCCACGGTGGGATCCTTGTTTCTCCTGACTCAGGAAGCATCCAGAAAGCTCTGTCTAGAGCAAAGAGAAGGGGCAGGACAGGGAGATAACCGCTGGCCTCGCTGCCCTAGGGATGGAAAAAGACAAGGTTGGGGGTACAGGGGGAGCAGGCAGAGGCAGAGGGGGAGGGGCAGTCAGAGCTGGCAGAAGGCAGGGTGGATGAGAGCCTCGGGCTGCAATCTTTCTGGCCTCACCTTAAAAGTGCGCGAATGCGGCATCAACGAGGCCTCTCCCTCCAGATGAAAGCTCAAGTCGTGGCCCCTCCAACACCGCCCCACGCCCCCCACTCTGCTCCAGCCCCACCAGCCCCCTCCTTGCACCACGACAGGCCTCCAGGCTTCCACACCCTCTGTGCCCTCAGCCCTTGCCCTCAGTGTTCCTATGGGCCCGCCCTCCCTGCCTTCAAGCCTGCTCAAGCCCACCCCGCGCCCTGCCTCTTTTCTGAGCACCCTAGCCCAACAGCCCCATCCCCCGCCCCCACTTTCTCATTCCTGCTGGCTCTGCGCCATCCGGCACATTACATGTCTGGTTTGTCGGTGACCTTCCCCAATGTGCTGTGAGCTCCGTGAGGCCCTGCGCCTTGCCCTAACTGCAGCCCCTGGATCAGCACGTAGCACAGGGTTAACCCCACACCTGTAACTCCACAATTTCCTAGCTGCTATGGCTTTAAGCAAGTCAGTTCAGCTCTCTGAAACTCCCCATGCAAGAGCAAACACCCAGCTCACTGGATGATGGCTTCAATGAAATCATAGAGTGAAAGGAGGTGGCATGTGACAGGTGCACAACAGGTGCCAACCAGGGTGGCTAGGAGTCATTCTCACCACCAGGCTCAAGCTGTCTCCTGCTCACTGCAAGGCCTCAGCCAGTCGTGGGAGCTGGAGGACCTATGTCCCCCACAGGGCTGCTGGGGACAATGCCCAGGCAGTGTCCCTAGCGGTGCCCTGAGCAGGGGTGCTGACACAGTGGGCACTCATCTCCTGCAGAGTTTGGAATTTGGACACGGGCCCCACCACTTTTTTATTTCGTGAGCTTGGGGGAGTGGCTTAACATGTTGGGGCCTCAGTCTCTTCATCTATAAATTGGGGATATTAACAGTGCCTTCTGCACAGAAGTCCTGAGGGTGTGATGAGATCGTGCGCATAAAGGGCTTCACAAAGCTGTGCAGGCATATGGGCGAACCGCAGACAAGGCGGACGGGCTGGGGCGGGGCAGGGAGGAAAGGCACCAAGGGCCCGAGTTCTGAGCTCTTGGCCATCACCAAGTGGATGTACCTCTCTGAAGCAGCTGCAGGGAAAGTGCTCCTGCGCCCACCCCGCCTGTGACCCCTCCTCTGCTCAGGGCCTCCTGGGGACCTCTCCCAGCCACTCTTGGCAGAAGGCAAGTGCTGGTGACAGCAGTGGGACCCCAGACGATGCGTCTTCCACCTCAGGCAACCTCTTGCCTTCTAGGAATGCACAGTTTGCCCAAGGAAGAGACTCAGACTGAATGGGAGAAGGGAGGAAGGGAGCAGAACCAGTTTCCCTCCGCTGTCCTGACTGCTGGCACCCACTGAGCCCAGAGCTCAGGGCAGGGGACCCCAGGCTTCCACTCTGCTTCCCACCCAAGACTCATCTGGCTTCCCCCCTGCCTCTTGGGCCAGGCCCTGGGAAAGAAGACCTTGAAGGGGGCCAGCGCTGTGGCACAGATGGTTAAGCTGCTGCCTGCAGCACCGGCATCCTATATGAATGCCCGTTCAAGTCCCCGCTGTTCCACTTCCTAACCAGCTCCCTGCTAATCCACCTGGGAAAGCAGTGGGAGATGGCCCAAGTCCCTGGCCCCTGCACCTGCGTGGTAGACCTGGCCCAGCTTCAGCCATTGCAGCCACTTGGGGAGTGAACCAGTAGATGAAAGATCTCTCTCCCTCTGTGTGTGTGTGTGTGTGTGTGTGTGTGTCTCCTTCTCTCTATATAACTCTTTCGAATAAATGAATAAATCTTAAACAAAAAAAAAAAAAAGAGGAGGAGGAGGAAGAATAAGGAGAAGGAGAAGCAGAAGCAGAAGACCTTGAAGAACGGACCCTTGGCCTTAACAAGGGCAGACTCTCCCCACTCCAGCGGGAGCCTCTGATCTGAGAAGAGAAACCCCAGGTCCCGCACAGACCTGGACCCCGCACCTGCTATACCCCAGACCAGGCTGTGCTCGGCCAAACCCAGACATGGACTGACTTAGGGGCCCCGTGCAACAGACTGCAAGCTCCTTGAGGAAGGTTGCGTTTGCCTGCTATGAGGGATGAATTCCCGGCATCCAGGAGGATGCTGGCACTTCCCAAGTGTTTACTCAACATGTGCTGGGTGGGTAAACCCGTCAGGGAGCCGATGAATGAGACAATCACTGACTCACCAGAAGTGCGGTCCCCTGTGGCACCGCAGAGGTACCAAAAAAATGCATGTGAATGAATGAATGACTGAGCCCACCGTGGAATCCATGACTCTCCACCAACTCCAAGGCTGCCCACCTGCTTCCTTGAATGGCGCCTGGTGCACACTGGGTGCCGAGTGATCCACGGAAGAACCAACCACGGGACAAAGACAACAGCCCAAGAGGAAGGAGACACACACGGGCCGAACCTCACCCCCAGCCATCACGCGCTTCCTGTTTTTTTTTTTTTTTTAAATAATTTGTCGGTTGTCTTTAATTGTTGAGGCAGTAATACTTGGTTCATGAAACTGCAATATACAGAGAGGTGAAATAAATAGCTTATATATATATAATATATATAATATAGCTGGTTTTAAAATACCCCCTTATCATTGGTGTACTAGGTCACGTGAGTCACAGAAGGTCATAGCAGCATCCTCTAGAACTTGAGCAACGCAGGGTCACCGGGATCGGACGAGGCCGGCTGTCGTCGGAGGTCGAGGCGCGGAGAGCGCCCAGGCGCACACCTTCCCTGCGTGGTGTCCTGGGACAGCTTGCAGCGGACAATAAATAAATGACTGCAAACCAGAGAGCGATTTTTGTTGGAGTTTCGGGCGGGGAGGGGGGGCAGGGAAGGGGGGAGGAAATGGGAGGAGTTTGTTGAGGGAAGGGGGTGCCACTTTCTCTTTCTTTGTTTTCCTCTTTTTTTTAACTTTTATTTTTTTTCTGCTTTTGCTTTCAGAACCTTTGGGAAAAAGGACTTTGGTTTCTCGGAGTGTCGGTTTCCTCGTTCGAGTCCTCCTCCGGGACGAGTCTCCAGTCTCTTCCCAGAGGGAGGCAAGCACCTGTGGGTTGACAACAGCCCCTCTTTGTCATGGGGGGAGGGGAGAGGGTTTCAAGTCAACAACAAAATCCTCATCGCCCCTCCCCCGAAGAGTTTTGGTTCAGTTTTTTTGTCTTCTTTTAAACACAATGTACAAAAATAGAGCTTCTTCCTTATTTTTCATGTAAAAATATTCCTCTGATGCAGTCCTCTGGGGTGTGAGAGGGGCCGGGCGGCCTAGCCGGGGTGCGTGGGGCGGATCCGCCGCGAGCGCTTGGTCACTGTGGTGTACTTGAAGGGCTTCTGCGGCTCCGTCTGCCCCTTGGGGTACCGCTTCATGAAGTGCACGTCCTGCTGGTTCTCCCGGGTCTTGGGGCCCTTCCGCGGCCGCCCCTTCTTGGTGAAGCCCACGTACCAGCCGGAGTACTTGGCCGACATCAGGGCCGTGTAGTTGTTCTCCAGAACCTTCTCGATGAACACACACTCCTTGCTGGTGCCATCGGGCTGCAGGGACGGGAGAAGAGCGTTAAGGCGGAACCTGGCCCATGACGCCCGCTAAAACACGGTAAGGCAGGTGCTGTTCAGGACCCCTGGGGTGGGTGCGGTGCCAGGGCAGGGCAGACACAGAGGCCCCCACTCCGACTGCAGCGTGGGCGAGTGGAGATGGACAGCCAAGGAGCCAGGCTGGGGAAATCACTGTGTGTGTGTGTGTGTGTGTGTGTGTGTGTGTGTTTCAAACCACTGAGAGAAACCTCAGGGGTAGGAGGGATTCTGCCTACACCGAGCCAACAGGATCCCTGCTGGAGACAATGCAGGGTCATCAGACACCACCTGGGGAATGGCAGCAGAGGGAGAGGACCCCAACCAGATATCGAGGGTGATCAGATCTCCAGAGTGGGGGTTCCTGCTGAAGTGACTTAGCAGAGTTCTTGCTAAGACTGAATTTTGCGAGGAAATGCTCAGGCGGGCCTAGGAGAAGGTCAGGAGCTTGACTAAAGTTTGGCCAAACAAAAAAATCTTTGTCAGGAGAAGGTGAGAAAGGGAACAGCAGGTACAAGGGGCAGAGAGCTAAGGAGAGAACATGTGCAGGTGGCCATGCCAGGCAGGGCACAGGTGAAAAGTCCTGACCCCACCCTCCAACCAGGTAACAAATTCCCACTGTCATTCAGGAATCCACTCCTCCCCATTCTCCACCTCACAGCCAGGCAGCTCCACTTTGTCCCTCCTAGGACAGGAGACCCAGATCCAGCCAATCAAAACATTATTTCCCCTTAGGCTTCAGTGATCAGTTCTCAGTAGGCATGTGACTCAAGCCATCCAACCAGAATGTTCCTTGAGACCTTTGTATAAGTGATCCCAAAAATGTTGGCTGATTTAAACTGTATTATGTAAGGCTGAACCGGAGGCAGCCATTTCACCACTAGAGAGAAAATCCTTTCTGACGGCAAAGCCAGCATAGCAGAAGCAAAGCCAAGAGGAAGAGAATGGGAGAAACCAAGTTCTGGTTGCACCATCTGGGCTCTGCATCGAGCCACATCTAAAGGTCAAATTCGCTCCCTGATCTGTGGGCCAATAAAGTCTCACTTCCTTGAAACCAGCTGACATCATGTCCTATCAGTTGCAACAGAAATGAGTCCTGACAGATTTGCACAAAACCTGCCATGAAGTCGGCCACTCAGCTGCAGCTCAACTGCACTGTGAGGTGGCTCAGTATAAATCGCAGGGAATGCGGGAAGTGTTCATTCTTAACACGTGGTAGGAAGGAGGGTGGGGGGCTTCCAAAAATAAGAGATGTCGCCTGGCCAGACTCCCAGGCCCGGGCCCTGGGTTCTGGGCTCTCAGGCCCCCGAGCAGAGGTGTGAACTCCCATGGAAGAGAGGTACACTGGGCAGGGTGCCCCAGTGTGCAGAGGCTGATGGATTTCGACCCTTTCAGCCTAGCTAATTCCACTCTCAAGCCCCCAGACTCCGCACCACCTAAAGGAGCCAGGAGATGGGTCCTCCTGCATCACAGGATGAGGGCAGCAACAACGCTCAGAAACAAGCCCGACGCTCAGGGGGGACCTTGCAGGAAGAGCAGGTGGCTCCGCCCGGGCTGGCCTGAGGCGGACAAAAGGTGGTGGGAAGGCAGGGCTTTGGGTCTCCTCCCCAAACCCATCCGGCCGCTCGATGGGAGAGTGGGAAACACACACAGTTGGAAGGCCTGAATTAGCAGCGTTCGAGTTTCCAACTGACATCTCCAAATTTAGGCCGGGCCCACTCCCCGTTCCGGACGGACGCCCAGCCAAGTTGGAAGCCCAGCGGTCTGGCTGTGTGCGGAGACTGAGGTGCGAGTTCCAGCCTTTTGTTTGAAGTGGAAAACGGGCTGGAGCTTCCAGGAACGTTCACCTTTAAGCAGAGGGCAAGCCTGGGCCCTGCAGACAAAGTGCTGAACTTTGCAGAAAGCAAACACTCGCTGGAGGACGAGACCTTGCCAGGAGGCTGCTGAACACGCAGAGGGCAGGCCCGGGAGGCGCGCTCGGCACTCAAAGGACAGCACCGGGTGAGGACGGCAGGGAGGAGCTCTTGAGCGAAGCTGGGGCAAATGTGCAAGGCAGGGAAAGAGGGGTGGTCCCGGGGCTATAGGTCCCCCATGGAAAAATACGGAAGATTTCTGCCCAAACTGAGTCCTGGTCTCGACAGAACAGTCAGGAAAAACTGAACAAGATTACTTCTTCACCCCAGAACAGCTGCCCCTGCCTGGGACACTGTTCTCCTTCAAGGCTGAGCTCAGGAACTGCCTCCCTGGCGAAGGCTTCCTGACTGCCATTTATCTCCCTGGGCGATTCCTCCACTTCCTTTGAGAGCTGCCAAGTTCGAGACCCGGCAGCTCCGCTTCCAATCCAGCTCCCTGTTAATGTATCCCGGGAGGCAGCAGATGTTGGCTCAAGTGCTTGGGCCCCTGACACACGTGTGGGAGACCTGAAGGAGTTCTGGGCTACAGCAGGCTTTGGTCTAGTCCAGCCCTGGCTGGTGCAGGCATTTGGGAGTGAACCAATGAATGGAAAATCAATCTCTCTCTCTCTCCCCCTCCCCCGGCCCCCACCACGACTTTCAAGTAAATGAAAAAAAGTAAATGAACATTATTTTCAAAGTAATGTATAGGAAAAACAGCCTCCATTCAAACATCAGTCTTATTGGGCTCATATACTCCATCCTGTTAGCCCCAGGCACCCACTCCTCCCCCAACCTCCCAACAGAGCAATTTGGCATCTGCCTCTTCATTAACCCAAGAGCACCCCAAAGTCAGACTGGCATCTTCGTGGCCCTGCTGGCTGAGCCAGGCGTGCCCAGAGCATCTGTGGTTGGAGCAACAGCTTCGCTAGCAGTGGGGGTGACACGGGAAAGCCTACAAGAAAGCGGCCTCTGCCTCCCAGACCTTCCCCATGGCCCAGTGATACCATGAGCCACGGGAGACCCCTCCTGGGGACACACTGATCAGGGAGACTCACGGAGCTGACGGTGGGGGCGGCCACCTGGCCCACTCAGTCTTCCTACCCATTCATTCAGCATTTATCCGCTTTCACTTATTGATTTTCATTTTTCTATTTGAAAAGCGGACAGACAGGGACAGAGGTCTTCTATCTGCTGGCTCGCTCCTCAAATGCCTACAACTGCCAGAGCTGGGCCAGGCTGAAGCCAGGAGTCCAGAACCCCATCCGGGTCTCCAATGTGGGTGGCAGGAAATAAGTACTTGCTGCCTCCCAGGAAGCTGACATCAGAAGCAGATCTGGGACTCAAATCCAGGGACTCCAATATGGGATGCAGGCATCCCAGGTGGCACCGAATGACCACTCCAGCTCCAGCATTTATTAATTGCGAGCTATAGCCAGACATTTCCATATCCATTATTTCATTTCATCCTCTTAAATCACTAAGGTCAACTTGACCTGCAGGAAAACAGAGCTCCAAGAAAGCTGCAAGGACTTGCCTAAGGTCATGGAGCTCTAAGTGGCAGAGCAGGGATTTGAACTTGCTTAGCCTCTGCAGCTCAGTTCTCCCCTGCCCAATCCACAGAGGGCCACTGGGAGAATGGGTGAGGAGGAACAGGCGTTGCTTGTGCAAACCTCACCTCCCCCAGACCCACATACCAGGGGCATAAAGTGAGGCTCTGGATGTGCAAAAGGCTAGCCCCCGGCGCTGTGGCATAGTGGGCTAACCCTGTGCCTGCAACACCAGCGTCCTCTAAGGGTGCTGAATGGTGTTCTGACTGTTCCACTTCTGACCCAGCTCTCTGCTATGGCCTGGGAAAGCACCAGAAGATGGCTCAAGTCCTTGGGCCCCTGCACCTGCATGGGAGACGCGGAAGAAGCTCCTGGCTCCTGGCTTCAGATCGGCCTACCTCTGGCCGTTGCGGCCAGTTGAGGAGTGAACCGGCGGATGGAAGGCCTTTCTGTCTGTCTTTCCCTCTCTTTGTCTGTAACTCTATTTTTCAGTTAAAAAAAAAATGTTTCTTTCTTTCTTTTTTTTTTTTTTAAGAGGCTAGCCCTGCCAGTGCCCAGCACACATGCTCAGTACATGCTGGAGACCCGTCCGGGTTTAGTGAAGATGGTGCAGTTGGGCCTCGGGCTGCAATTCCAACACTTGAGTGCAGGGGCCGATTACAAACCAGCCATGGAGCCTGTGATAATGCTAAGCCTCCCACCCTGAGAGTAGACCAGAAGCCAACAGTAGGTTGCACTGGCTTTGACCTTGGCCTGGGCTCCTCACCACCCTCTCACCCTGCTAATTATCTGCAGGACTTTATAAAACACCCCATACGGCTGGGTGTTTAGCCTAGCACTTAGGGTACCTGCATCCCATGTCAGAGTATCTGGCTTCCACGCCCCCTCAGACTCCTGATTCCAGCTTCCAGCTGGTAAAGACCTCAGGAGGCAGCAGCTATGGCTCAAGGAACTGGTTCCTGCCCCGAAGTGGGAGATCTGGAAGAAGCTCCTGGCTCCCGGCTCCTGGCTTTGGCCTGGCCCAGCCCCAGCCATTGCAGCCATTTGGGGAGTGAACCAGTGGGTAGAAGATCTCTCTCTCTCTCTCTGTAAGTTTGCCTTTCAAGTAAATAAGTCTGTTTTTAAAAAAGGAAAAGAAAGGAAAGAAATGGCTCTGTGCGATTATTATATCAGTGCAAAATTTTTTAAAAACTCTGTGCTTGTGCCCCACCCCCAGAAATTCTGGATGAACTAGTTCTGGATAAGTTGAGCAGAAGCTGCAGGACTTTTCTGACGTGGAATTTGACCCTCTCTTCCCTACGCCCACCTCCAACCTCCTTCTGCCCAAGCTGAAGGATTCGATCCACAGCCTGAATCCTGGTGGCATCACTGGTACCTGGGTCCAGACCTAGCAAAAACAAGGACTTGCTGAGCTCCGTGAGCCAAAGCCTCCCCTTTCGCTTAGGGCATTCTGAGCTGGGTTTCAGTCACTTACAGCCAAAGCACACGTGCTGGTGGCCCTGAAAGGGCCTGTAACCCTGTGTTGCCCCCAAAGAGGACTTGGTGATAATCACACAGGTGGGGGCAGGTGGGGAAATCCGATCTGGGTGGGGCCTCCAGACTTGCAGGGGAAAGTCCAGCACACAATGCGAGATGCTCAGCCACCATTCATGGAACCACAGGAGCACCAGCTCCTGTGGGAGACGGGGAGGGGGGTTCCAGAGAGGCGGCCAGGAGAATGGGGGCACTTGAGCATACGGGGCTCAGGTACAAGGCAGCAGGGGGAGTAAGTACGTCCGGAAAGGCTCTGTTGAGGGTGCCATGCACCTGCCACAGGTGCACAGAGGTGGCACCCAGAGTCAAGACAGCCCAGGGAAGTTCCTGTTGTTGGAGTGGCTGGAGCTGGAGCCAGGGCTGAGGCCTGGGGCTCCCACGAGTGAAGGAGTGACCTCATGACCTGGTTTCCATCTGACAGATGACGACACTGCGGCTCAGCGAGCTCCAGGCACTCTGACTCCCTGGCCTGATGTGCACGATTCTGGCTGGAGGCTGCGAGTCAGTCCTCAGAAAGCAAAAAACGCATTTCTGTTGCTGTGGTGCTGCTGTAGCCCCTAGGCCAGGTATGTAGCACAGACGGATGCACGCACCCAGAACTGGCCTTCTTCAGGGAGCTCCAAATCTAGAGAGGGATGCAAGCCCCAAGACAGAGGGCAGGGACAGCCCGCTCAGCGGGAGGGCACACAGACAGGGGATGGCAGCCAGAGACAGAGCAGCATGGAGGGGCCCCAAGTCCCACCCCTGGAGCTGCGGCCAGGGCAGCAAGCCGTGAAACACTGGAGATGGGATCCGGGGCTGGGACCCCGCGGGGTAAGAGCGCTGGGGACAGGACTTCCAGAAGGCATGAGGCCAGGGCAGGTGTGCGGGAAGGAGAGGAATCCCATGACAGGCCCAACTGGGCAGGGACACAGCCCTGGGCCCGAGGGTTCCGGCTTCAGAAGCAGGAGTGTGCGTGGAGCTGAAGACAGGTGGCCATGGGGGCGCCCCCAGAGCACAGGGTCAGCCTCTGAAAAGGGGCCTGCAGGGGCCGGGGAGTGGGCATAGGAGAGCCAGGGCCGGCAGGGGGCCCGGGCCGGCCTCCCCACACCGCCACGTGCGCCAGCTGAACCGTCCCCAAAATTCATGCCGAGGGGCGGGAAATAGGAGCCGGCCCCTGTGGAAGTGGTGACTCAGCGGCCCGGGGCCGGGGCTGCTCTTCTGACCCGGGAGGGCCCTCCTGGGGTCAGGATGCCGGGAACCGCGCCGCGGGGCAGGCACCGGGCGCGGGCGCCAAGCCGGAGGGAACCGAGCCCCAAACCCCAAGCAGGTCGGGCCTGGGAGGCGGCCCAGGCAGGCAGGAGAACAAAGCTCCCGACGCGGGGCCCGGCCGCGCCGCCCGCCGCCGCAGGCAGCGGCCATCCAGGCTGGGGAGGGGAGACCGGCCGGGCCCCAGCCCCGACCCCGCGCGCCGGCCGCCGGCCCCACCGCGGGCCGAGAGTGAATCACTAATTGAAACCACTCCCGGGCCCCAGAACGCGCTCTTGGGATCGCCACTATTTTGCTGTTTGAGAAACTCCGGTTGGGGTGGGCAGTGTGGCTGGAATCTTTTCCTGCCAGACTGGGCTCTGAATCCCGCCTAGCACTGGTGTGGGACTTGGGACAGGGGCCCAGGGCGTGGCCAAGCCTCAGCTTTCCTATCTGTGAAATGGGGCTGGTAGTGGTACAGACTTGGGCATTCTTTGGGAGGGCTCCTTTTTTTTTTTTTTTTTTGCTCAGGGCCTGGCAGAAAACAGGTGCTCAAATTATCAGGGCGATTGCAACCGTTTTTATTAAGGGATTTCCCCCAAAATATTAAGGTGACAATACTTGAGCTCAGGTCCCTGGCCTGTTACACCCTCCCAAGTCACCTGAGCGCAAAGCTGAGGGCTTCAAGAGACCAAAACCCTGACTGGCCACCTCCCTCCCACCTCCGTAATGTGTAACCAACTGCAAATTATGCACCAGGGCCTAGGCTCCCAGCAGGTGAAGTCCTTCCAGCCTCCATGGACATGGAGGCTGGCACAGTCCCTGCAGGGGAAAGGGGCAGACAGCTTGAGCCCACCACAGAGCCTCTGCCAGGACCACTGTCCACCTGACATTCCACGGGCAGAGAAGGGGAGCAGGGGAGCCTCAGACACCCCTGCCCCAGCGCCCTCATCACCGCCCCAGTTTGCTGCATGCAGCTCTCTTGCCTATTCCAGAGTAATAAAATCTTCCTGAAATGCTAGAACCGTGAGGCCCAGCGCTGACAAGGCAGCCGGGTTCCGGAGGCTGCTGTGCGGCGCTGGAGGCCCCTGGCGATTGTTAAAGTGATCGCTGCAGCCACAGCACTTGGCCGACTGCTGACTGCTCGCTGGGACTCTCCTGCTACTGAGGAGGTCAGAGCTCCAACCCCACCACCACCACGGCAGGACCAGGGGCCCTGTGTGCTCCCAAAGCCCAGCCGTAGCCCTGGCTACCTTGGCCCGGTGGACTGCAGGTGCTCCCCCGCAGAGAAGGAATGGGTGGGTTTGAAGGGAAGAGATGACCTTGGGGCTGGCTCTCTCTCTCTCTCTCTCTCTCTCTCTTTCTCTCTTTCTCTCTCTCTCTCTCTCTCTCACACACACACACCACACACACTCACACACACACACAGGGTCTGCTTCCCCTTCTTCCCAGCCCCCGGGAGCGGCAGGCCCTCACTCACCTTCCCCACGAGCTTGCCTTTGCGGTTCATACACAGGTAGAATTCCGTCTCCTTGCCCTTGATCCGGACTTGACTACCGAAGGTGTCTGTCTCCACTAGGAGCTGGGCTTCGAAAGGCAGGACAACAAGACACGCTGTTTAACCAGGGGCAATGAATGGCCCAGCCTGAAGGCTCAGTGACATGGTCCCTGACCCCGTCCCTGGTCCCTCCCTCCCCCAACCTCAGGCCTGGGGGGGTGGGCTCTGACAAGTCTCACTGGAGTGAGCACTGGGTCCCTCAGGCTGGGAGACAGAGGCTCCTCTTGGCACCCAGGTGGCTCCAACAGGAGGGGAGTCTGCCCTGTGCCCTTCTCCCGCTCATCACCAAGGACCCCCCAGCCCCTCAGCCCCATTTCCCAAAGCAGCACAGCCAGCCAATTCCCCCACCCCTGGTTCGAGAAGAAACAGTGTTGGGACTAAGGGGCACGCACACAGGTGCACAGGCGCGAGTGCTCGCCCTCTCACACACTCACACACACACACACACACACACACACACCTTGCCCTGGGGGACATCAAGCTATTTCAGAGTCCACTTTCCCCAGAGCAAACAACTGAACCCCCGCTGGTGCCCCCTTGGCACCTCTGTCCCAGCCACTGGAAGCTGCCAGGGCACAGAAAGGGGACGTGCAAACCCCAGGGGAAGCTGTGCGCCCTTCTTCTCTGGTGTCCCGGCCACCACCTCTTCCTACCCAAGGCTGTGACCGTCCCCCCTGCAATGCTCGCACCCCGCCCCCCGGCCCCCTGCTTCCTAGCACCCTCGGAAGTTTAATTTCACTGACAAGGGACTTGCTTCTCCATAACGAGAATCATAGCCCCGAATTCCTGAGTACAGTATCCTTGGAGCCACAAGGAATGTGCCTCAGTGCTCCTAAACTACACGAGGTAGGATTTTAATCAAAAAAATTTACAAATATAGACCCTGGTGCCCTGCTGTGAAAATTACAACCATCTGGAATGCAAGATTTCCAATAATTAATCTAGCCCTCCTTTGACACCACTGCTAATTAAAATGTGATACCCACCTTTCCAAGGGGAAGAAAAAGAAGAATTTATATAAAATTTAAAGATCTAACAAGAATTCAGTAATTCTAGAAACAAGGGGAGGCACATTTTTCCCCTCCCCTTCCCCCACGACCAGTGCACACTGAGTCAGACTGAGATGGAGGGCGGGGTACACACCTTTGACCCCCACCCCCACCCCCACTACCCCTTCATTCAGACTCCCTGTGATTTCTTCTGCTGGCTCCACCCCAGGCACCAAACAACACAGCGGCTCGGTGACTTTTCTCCATCTCTGCACAGAGCTCAAGCCAACTGGGGGGGGGGGGGGGCGGCTCTGGGAAAAGTTCCGGAGATTACTCATTTCATTTTTGAAAGGCCCTATGTTCTGTTTAATCCCCGGAACCCCTTAGTGCCTGCCTTCCCCATACCTTTATTTATTTCTGTGTCAAAAGGGGTGAATCCCCCATATGCTTTTGGACTGGCCAAAAATTTCTCTCACTTGGCTCTCACCTGCTTTTCGAGGGGAGGGGAAAGGCAACACCCAGAATGTTTTCTTAAATTCCTAAAAACTGCAAAACTGAACAGTTTTCCTAAAAGAAAAAACTGTTCAGACGTAGTGGGAAGAACCTGGATGTGTGCACAAGGGCGGACCTTGCTGCCCAGACCCTGCGCGCCACCGAGAGCTTCCTCAGCGTCCTCCAGGGGCCCTGGCATCACCCTCCGGGAAATGCCCCAGAAAGTGCCTGCGGTTGGGACTCACAGGGCCTGAGTTCATTTCCGGCATTGCCGTCCCAGGCTGTGTGGCCCTAAGCAAGACACCCGCCCTTCCGAGTCTCCGTTTCCTGGCTGGTGCAAGGGACAGAGGGGCTCAACCCTGTCCTGCTTCTTGGAATGGATGAGTAGAGGCCAAGAGAGGGTTGGCAAGGGAGGCTGTCGGAAGCAGGTGATGCCATGGGGCTGGGACCCAGGTAACCCCCAAGGGAGCTCCAAAGGCAGCCTCTGCTGCCTGCCCCCTCGAGTCCTCAGATAGCTCCTACCATGTGCTCAATCAGACTCCCCGAGCCCACTGCAGCCACTGATTCCCTTGAGGCTGAGTGTCTTAGTGCCCATTTCACAGTATAGAAAACTGAGGTAGAGAAGGCACTCCAGCACGAGGGGCTGACGTCAGAACTGCCCACCTCTTTCTGCTGGAACCTGGGCTCCTCCAAGAGAGGCCTCCAAGTGCAAGCCCTACTAGCACTCAGTGGCCAGAGGCACGACCGGAGACCCTGGCCTTGGCCTTGGGCAGGCCTGGCCATTCCCACCAGGTCAGGGAGCGTGTGGGCCCACGGGCCCCTCCAGCGGAGCCGACAGTCCGTTCTCCCTGACCGGCTGCAGCCTGCACTGGCCCAGCCTAGACTCCACTCAGCACATGACATCATGAGCAGGGAGCCGGGCCAGAATTATGTAAAGTCTTTGGGGAGCAATAGCTCGGCAGTTCTCAGAGAGAGAGGAGAGGAGGGGAGAGGGGAGGGAGAGGGGGACTCCACCCAGGCCAGGTCCACTCCAGAGCTTGCCTGGTCCTCAGCACCTCTGCCCCATCCGGCCCGTGACCCCAGCTCTCTCGCCTGGGTTCAGCTCCCTTCTTGGCCCTGCAGCCAGTACCTCTCTCCTCTCATCACACCTGGACCTGCGCAGCTCCGGCCACACCCCCTGCTCTCCACACACCAGCCCAAGGAATCCATGACAAATGTCACTTTAAGAACCTCTCTCCCTGCTTCAGACTCCTTTCCAGGATGCACACAACCTGGCCCCGCCCCCACCCCACCTCCCACAGGCCCCGCCTTCTCCCCCCACCCACAGCACAGGTACTCCTGCCTCCAGGCCCTTACACCTGCGGTTCCCTCTGCCTGGAGCTTCCTGCAAATGGCCCCACACTCCTAGGTTGTCACTCAATGCCACTTCCTCAGAGCGGCCTTCCATGACCACACTGCCCAGTGCTGGCACTGCCCACCCCTTGGCATGCTCCGTTTCTCCAAAATGGCCTCAGGTGTTTCTCTCTGACCCTGAGGACAGGGTCTCACCTGGCTTATTCACCCCTGCGATGCCCAGGCTTTAGAAAGTGCATCAGGCGCTGTGGCACAGTGGGTTAAAACCCAAATCTACAGGGCTGGTGTCCCATACGGGCGCCAGTTCAAGTCCCGGCTGCTCCACTTCCGATCCAGCTCTCTGCTGTGGCCTGGGAAAGCAGTGGAAGATGACCGAAGTCCTTGGGCCCCTGCACCCGCATGGGAGACCTGGAAGAAGCTCCTGGCTCTTGGCTTTGGATCAGTCCAGCCCTAGCCGTTGCAGTCATTTGGGGAGTGAACCAGTGGATGGAAGACCTCTCTCTCTCTCTCTCTCTCTCTCTGTCTCCCTCCTCCATCCCTTCCTCCCTCCCTCCCTCATACACACACACACACACACACACACACACACACAGGAGACTCAGGGAGAAGGGGCTGGCCCAAAGGCACGCAGTCCCGGGCTCCTCCCCCATCTCAATGCAGGGTGGGCTCCCACCCAACCCTGTCGGGGTTAGGACCAGGTAACCGCCAAGGCCTCCTTCGCTCCCGCCCCATTATGAGGTGTCAGCAGCAGCACACATGTGTGCAGAGCTGACGATGCTGGGCATCGTGCCTACCCCCATGCGTACATCAGTTCATGCTAACCCTTACAGCAGTCCTGTGAGGAGCCAACCCTTGCTGTGATACCCATTTTATAGGGGAGAAAACTGAGTCCCCAGGTCACACAGTGACGTAGCTAAGGGTCAAATCCTGGCAAGCTGAGCCAGAGGTCCCTACCCTGAGGGAGTAAGTAGACACAGATGGGGGCACGGTCAGCTTCCCTTTGGCCACTTTGCAGGCAGAAGCCCTGGAGTGGACATGCAGCTGCAATTTCAGAAGATGCTGGCGGGGGGCTAGGGTCTCCCCAAGGAAGAACCCTTAGAGCCCACACTGAGGCGCTCCCAGGGTGTTTCAGATCTGGTCCAGGGAAGACGAGCTGCACGGACCCAGAGGAGGAGCAAGTCCAAGCTGGGGCGCCGTCCTGAGAAACAGCACACAGAGCCGGGCCCCTCAGGGCCCACTGCAGAGTAGCAGCCCAGTGGCCACCTGAGGCCATGGACCAGGAGGGCAGTGGGAGAGGAGCGGGCACCAAGGACTCACTCCCTTCTCCAGCACCCGAGCCAAGAGGGAAAAAGAAAGGCCAAGAAAACGAAGCCAGAAAGAAAGCCCTTTCTGTAAAGACTGGTGCAGTCTCTTTTTCCCCATTTCTCTAAAGTACCTACAGTAACAATTCAAAATTATTTGGGGAGGGGGGTGATGCTATGGTGCAGCAGGTTAAAGCCCTGGCCTGCAGTGCCAGCATCTCTATGAGAATATGGATGCCGGTTCTAGTCCCGGCTGCTCCTCTTCCGATCCAGCTTCCTGCTAATGGCCTGAGAAAAGCAACAGAAGATGGCCCAAGTGTCTAGGCCCCTGTCACACATGTGGGAGACCTGGAAGAAGCTCCTGGCTCCTGACTTCTGCCTGGCCCAGCCCTGGCTGTTGCAGGGAGTGAACCAGCAGATGGAAGGGTTCTCTGTGTCCCTCCCTCTCTATAAGTCTGATTTTCAAATAAATAAATATATCTTTAAAAAACAATTCTTTAAAAAGTTATTTGAGGGGGCCGGCACCATGGCTCACTTGGTTAATCCTCCACCTGCAGCGCTGGCATCCCATATGGGCACCGGGTTCTAGTCCTGGTTGCTCCTCCTCCAGTCCAACTCTCTGCTGTGGCCCGGGAAGGCAGTGGAGGGTGGCCCAAGTGCTTGGGCCCCTGCACCCACGTGGGAGACCAGGAGGAGGGAACTGGCTCCTGTCTTCAGAGTGGTGCAGCGCCGGCCGTGGCAGCTATTTGGGGGTGAACCAATGGAAGGAAGACCTTTCTCTCCATCTCTTTCTCTCACTGTCTAATTCTACCTGTCAAATAAATAAATAACTTCTATGATATGAAATTTGTGTACCTTAAAAAAAAAGTTATTTGAAACCTTGATGAAAGATAC